GGGCGGGATTGGTTTTAAGGGTGAGGGAGCATCGAGTTCTGTTTTGTCCAACGCACGCTCAGGCCTCTTAAAACAAACCCGGATTTTATTGAGCCGCAGAATTAGTTTCAGTGTGTATTTCTAGTGAAAATGGCTAGGAATGTGGTTTTGGCCTTCAGGTTGTGAGTCCTGCCACAGACCAAGCCCTGAGGTGGGGTTAAGCTGGGGGGACACAGGAGCACTCACCTTTGAGGCCACAGAGCCCGCACAGGGCAGCGAAGGCCGTGGACTCCATTTCGATGTTCCTCACGCCGGCGGCGTAAGCTCTTTGCAGGTACTCTACCTTTTTTTCACTGGAAAAAGAGCACAGCGCCCCGTCTAATCTCCCCTGACCTTGAAGGGAAGCAGAGAGGTGTCACTGTGGGCTCTGTGTGGGTCACCGTCACTGTGAACCGGGGGTGGTTCAGACGGGAAGTCCAGCAGTGCCTACACTCAGTCTGAAGCTGACCCAGTCTTCCTTCCCATAGTTGATTAATTCATATTAACCTCAGTGCTTAGAGCTGCCGTGCTATGTCCCTGTATAGAGGGGGAAGTCACGCAGGCGTTGACACTTGTGCACAGGACGAGCAAGCCCGTGGTGCTGAGCACAGGGGTGCACTGCGCTCTGGGGGACACAGCGTCGCAGCTCCCCTGGGGTCCGTGGTGAATGTCAGCTGTGAGGGTCTGCCAGGTAGAACTAAAAATCCATATTCCTGTGGAAGAGGCACAGCAAGCTGTGCAAAGCAGGAAATGGGGAAGAGGAAAGGCCCCTTAATTTAGGCTTAAACCTTCTCAAGAGGCTGCCATGGCCGGCAGGCAGGGGGCTGCAGGGGTGACGCTCTGGTGGCACTGGTGGCACTGGTGCCCCTTCCCACTCCCACCACAGCCACTGTCCCAGAGCAGCCCCTGCTCCGCACAGCAGTGAAGTCCTTGGCAAGCCGAACGTGTACCTGCGGCTGCGCTAACCCGGGCAGAGCGCTTCGTTTATTGCTGTGCCTGCTCCTAATCCTCTCAGATGGCTTTTTGTTTAAATAAAACGTGGCCTCGAGCAATACACAGATGGTTGCATTTGCAAGCAGATCCAAAGGTTTATAAATAGTCCCCAGATTATTAATTCTTCATTTATTACACTTAATCTACTCGGCAATCAGCATTTGATTTTGCAAAGGAAACGATTCCAGAGCAACCAAAGTTTGTTTATGTAAATGCCAGGCGCTTCCTGACGTTTCTATAGCGCTTGGCAGCTCTGAGGTTACAACCTTAACAACTCGGTGTGACCCAGGGCTGGGGATGGGGGCTGCTGCCTTGGCTTTGGGAGGCCCGTGACTGCAGCTCCCGTGTGCCAGGGCAGCAGAGGTGTCCCAGGCGTCTGCACTGTCCCTGGAGCCACCGCTGCTGCGTGGATCTCCCCTCCATCCACCACCAGCTGCAGCAGCGCTGGCCTTGCAGGTAACGCTGCTAAACTGAGCTCTCAGGTGCACAGGAGACCCATTAGAGGAGGGTTCATCCTGGCAAAGTGCTGAAATTGGTGGTGTGGAGGTGTGCCCTGCTCTGAGCTCTAAGGTACCGGGGGTCTGTGCCTGCAGCCCCTCGCAGGCTGAGGGGGCATGAGTGGTCTTGGCTGTGTAAGGATGTACAGGCTTGGCATTACGCTGGGGGAGAAAGGACGGTCAAAGACGGCTTTACCTTCATAGAAGTCGTAGGTGCACATGGTACGGCCGATGAGTGTGGGGAAGTCGGGGACCTCCTTGCTGCAGGCGAGCAGCTCCTGCGCCAGGTCCTTGTCCAGCTCGGTGCTGCGCACCACCACGTCGCCCAGCACCGCCTGCTCGAACCGCGGCGCGAAGGACGAGTCCACGGCCGTGTCCGTGACCACCACAGACCCGGCCTCCACCCCTGCGGAAGCAAAGGCTGAGATTGAGCCGGAGCTCGCAGCGCTTGTGACCTGCTGCAGGGCTTCGGTGACAGAAAAACCCCCGCAGACGTCTGTGGCTGTGCGGTTGTGCTTTTAGTGAGTAAAACAGATGTGAGGGAACAACCGAAATCCACGCAGTAGCACAGATGTACGAGTAAAATGAACTGAATGAGCACACGGTGAGCGACTGTGGGAACGTGCTGAGTGACAGCGTTTTAATTGCTGCTGGCTTGCAGCGATGGTGCCCCCTCAGCAGCACCAGTGCCCCAGCTGAGGTTCTACCACTGTGGGTGACTGCAGGCACTGGGACAACTGGGAAGGTCTGAGCGTGACAGTGACCTCCAGTCAAGAGTTTTCTGTTTGAAAACCAGTACCCAGTTGTTGTGAATGCAGAGTTCATGATGAAAACATGCGCTCTGCTAAGCCAGTGGCTATAAGTTTGCTGGGCTTTAACCCAAAACAACGCACCGTGATGTATGACACCTGAGGACCTGACAAAATGCATGACCTGTTGCTGGGAATTCTTCTTATTAATAGCTTTTCTGCTCTGGAGATAGAGCACAGACAGCTTACCTAAGCCTCCAGAAGTACCGATGCGTATAACAGTGACGTCTCGGCACTTGGCGTAGTGCAGCAGCTTGATGAGCTCGTGCAGCATGATGGAAATGGAGGGGATACCCATCCCGTGCTGTTGGGAGAAGAGAACAGCGTCATCCCCGCGGTGCTGCGGCAGTGACGGGTACGGGGCTGCAGTGAGCCCCAGGGACGCTGCGGCCTCTCCCCACCGCTGAGGCCAGCAGCGATGTTCTGTGGGAGGAATGTCTGGGGCTGTCCAGGTAACGCGGCCGACCCTCTCCTCCCCTGGCGCTTTGCAGGCTGCTCCCATCCACGGAGCTGACGTTTGTCCCTGGTGTCTCTCCTTCAAGATCTCTCCACAGACACATCCCGATGGCTGACTGCTCCAAACTCTCCCGTCCCTACGCCGTGTGCTGGCTCCCGTTCTGTGTCCTGTCCTGCCCGTGCTCTTGGAGTGCTGAATTCCAGCAGGGACAACCAGAGCATCTGCTGCTCTGGGCGTTCCCGGCCCATCCTTGCCCATGGTGCAGCGCCTCCACGCACATCACTGGGTACGCAGGATGACAGATGGGCTCATGCTCCTGGTGAGGGCTGGTTTTGGGGTCAGGCATTTGCCATGCGAAGCCTCACACCGTGCAGGCCGCTGTCCCCCACCCTGGTGTCCCTCGTCCCCCTGCTGCCCCTGCTTGCACCATCAGCTCAGTTTTCTGCTCCTGTGCTCGACCGCAGTCCTGTTCCCAGCTTCTCCTTCAACAACACAAGGCGTTTGGTGCTGCGGGGCTTGTGTTTTCCCCATGAAAAATGCCTCATGTTATTTTGTTCCTGCTATCACGTTCAAAAACCTGAAGGAAGCACATGTAAAGAAGCACAGTTAACGCAGCATATGCAGTCAGTTTTCCCATTGCCTTGTCTCTTTCCATTTGGCTGTGAGACTGATGGCCTATTAGGCTTGTATCATGTTTTAAATATGAAAACATTTTGCGTGTTGTTATTCTGGAACATCAGCCTGACTTATTTGCCAATGCCTAAAAAATTTATTCTCATTGTAAATATTCAAAGCAGGAAGCTGTGTTCCTGCCTCCGGTGCGTTTGGGTTCACTCGTGTTTCTAAGCAACTTGCAAAAATGCGATGTTGGCAGCTGCTCCACATCAGGCGTTTTTGGGGAGGCCGCTGCGGGCTCTGCCCCTCACCCCATCGGGGACGAGCCCTGGGGTCGATGTCCTCTGCGCTGGCACAAACTGGTGCATGGCCCAGGGCTGCGTGCAGGGTTTTCCTCTCGCTGTCACCATCGCTGCCAGGTGGGGAACAGCAAAACTGTGGGGTTTTCCCCTGAGGTCCTGTCAGGTTGATTCCCTCAGGCTTCTCCACTAGTCGGGTTTGGTGTGGTTTGGCCGGAGGGACCACACGTGAGCACCACGAGCGCTCCTGCTCAGCCCGCATTCGCGTTTTCCTTTGTGCAGCGCCAAACTGCTGCTGCTCTTCAAGAATAATTAGCAGGAAAACAAGGTTTTTCCTTCAGAGCTCACGCCAGTGTAACACTTCCAGCAATATTTCATACTTCATGCGTGGTGGGAAGTGGTCTTCGCCTCTCAAATTGCTAGCCTGCTGAGCTGAGCAAAACACGGGCACGTTCATTTTTAATACGGCTCTCTTTGAACTGAGCATGCAGACTGCAGAGAAACATCATTCAGACAGAAGCAGCTTTACCGTGGCTGAAACGTTGCACTGGTGGTGATGGCTGAAAACTGAAAAGGGAGAAAAGACCTGCCGGGAGGTTTTTGGGAGGCGGAGGCACAGGAGGGGGTGCTGCCCACCCTGTGTGACCACCGGGGCAGAGGGGACCCAGGGGCAGGGACCACGGTGGTGCCTGGGACAGAGAATCACACAGAATATGAGGAGCTGGAAGG